CGGGTAGCAACAATGTGGAGGAAGGCCCTGTTTTCTTCTTCCAATCTAGCCCATGTACTGCAAGCCCAAAAATGAGAGCCTGGAAAAAAGAGGCGCGTGAGCGCAAATCTGTTCCATCTCACTTTAAATCAGCAGTCCAGAGGATGAAGAGGAAAGATGATAAAGTGCAGGAAGATGACCTTGAGTTGGGGGGCTATGAGAAGCGTAGCAAAGGCGAGGGTGGTGATGGTAATCCAGTTATTTTATCGGCAGGTACTGCTCTGCAGGCCTGCCGCTCGCCATGAGTATACTTTGTTGGAACTGCCGGGGGCTTGGGAACCCTCGAGCAGTTCGGAGCCTCATCGAACTGGTGGGGTTGAAGAAGCCTGCAGTAGTGTTCTTGTGTGAGACATTACTGGATAGAAGAGGTATGGATCGTATTCGTCAGAGGTTGAGGTTTCACAATTGTTTTACTGTAGACAAGATTGGACGCAGTGGAGGCTTGGCTATGCTGTGGACTTCTGAGGTGTCACTATCCTTGTTATCTTACTCTACCAACCATATTGATATGGAGGTTGAAGGTATGGGGGGGTGCAAATGGCGGCTTACTGGTTATTATGGTTGTCCTGAACGACATCGTAGAAGAAGGTCATGGGCTTTACTACGTGAATTGGCTAGTCGTTCTCTTTTGCCTTGGTTAATCTGTGGGGATTTTAATGATATCCTATGCCAAGATGAAAAAGTGGGGGGGGGATGCACAACCAGAATGGCTCCTTGCGGGGTTTAACGATGCCATTGAAGCTTGCAGTTTAACGGAGTTACGGATGGTAGGAGGTTCCTTCACTTGGCAGCGAGGAGAGATCCGTGAGAAGCTGGATAGGGGTTTGGCAACTACCTATTGGCATGATACTTTCCCTCATGCTCTAGTCCAATTACTTCCCCCTCTAGCCTCTGATCATAAGCCTTTGTGGATCAATATTGATGGGCGACGGGATAGGAGAAACAGGCATCGCAAAAGGTTTAGGTTTGAGGAGATGTGGCTGCGTGATAATAGATGCCAAGAGGTGGTTCAGGCTAGTTGGAAATCCATTGAGGGGACAGGTGATTGGGGTTGTCTACTGCACAAAATGAGAGTATGCTCTAATGACTTGCTGCAGTGGAATCGTGTCCAGTTTGGGCACGTCCAGAAACATTTGAAGCAGTGCATGAAGGAGCTCGAGAGGCTCAATCACCATCAGGATCCTGCTCTAGTTGCGAGAGAGGAACGTCGTGTGCTTAATGAACTTGAGGAATGGCTGGAAAGGGAAGAGATAATGTGGCGGCAACGCTCTCGCGATATCTGGATTCAAGAGGGGGATAGGAACACCCGTTTTTTCCACAGAAGAGCTACTAAGCGTAAGGATCGTAACAGGGTGGAGAAGCTAATGAAGGATACGGGAGAGTGGACATCTAGTTTTGGCGAGGTTAAAGTAGTTGTTGTAGAGTACTTCGCCCACCTCTTCACATCAACAGATCCTACGAACCTAGCTCTAGTGACAAATTGCTTAAGACCTTGTGTGCAAGATGGGGACAATTCTTTCCTACTGCATGAGTTCACTGAGGCGGAGGTTACGAAGGCTTTGTTCCAAATGCACCCGTCTAAGTCGCCTGGTCCGGATGGTCTCTCCCCAATTTTCTTTCAACGCTTTTGGGCCTCAGTGAAGGATGACATCGTTCAGCCATGTTTGCAGTATCTGAACCAAGGAATTCCCTTTCCGGATGAGCTAAATCTCACTAATATTGTGCTAATCCCAAAGTGTCATGAGCCAAAAGCAATGGGGGATCTAAGACCTATAAGCCTGTGCAATGTTATCTATCGAGTTCTTGCAAAAGTATTGGCAAACAGATTCAAGCAGGTGTTACCGGGAGTTATCTCACAGGAGCAGAGTGCCTTTCTTCCAAATAGACTCATTACAGATAACTTTTTAATTGCTTATAAGGTTCTTCATTTTATGCGTTCCAGGAAGCGTAGGAAAAGGGGATGGCAGGCTATTAAACTGGACATGAGCAAAGCCTTCGATAGAGTGGAATGGCCATATCTTGTGGCAGTTATGAAGGCCCTAGGCTTTGCTGAGCGATGGATTAGCTTAATAATGGGTTGCGTGACCTCAGTCCAGTACAACATATTGCTCAATGGTGTGGATGTTGGGCAGATTACCCCTTCTCGAGGGCTGCGGCAGGGTGATCCCTTGTCGCCTTATCTGTTTCTCCTATGTGCTGAAGGCCTTACAGCAATGATAAAGGATGCAGAGAGGAGAAAGATGCTGCATGGTGTTAAGATCTGTAGACATGCCCCGCAAATCTCTCACCTTTTGTTTGCTGATGATAGCTTTCTTTTCTTGCGGGCTACTGAGTCTGAAGCTAAGCACTTAAGGGAAATTCTTTGTAAGTTTGAGGCTGCTTCAGGGCAAGTGGTGAATTTGCACAAATCCTCTGTTTCTTTTAGCAGTAATGTGCCATCTATCGCACGAGATCGTGTTACGGGAATTCTTGGTATGAAGGAGTTGAGCTCCCCAGGTAGATATCTTGGTTTCCCAGCCCAAGTTAGTAGAGCAAAGGCAAGAGCATTTTCTGATCTGAAGAGTAAGTTCCGGGCTCGTATTTGTGATTGGCGAGAGCAACCCCTTTCAAAGGCTGGGAGAGAGGTTCTCATCAAGTCAGTTTTACAAGCTCTCCCTATGTACTTCATGGGCATGTTTCTTCTTCCTCGGAGTCTTTGTATAGATCTGGAGAGGATTATGAATAGATACTGGTGGGGTGGGGGTGACGGTCATTCTAAGATCCACTGGATGGAGTGGAGAAAGCTTGCAACTCCAAAGAAGATGGGAGGTTTGGGGTTCCGAGCTCTTCACGAATTCAATTTAGCTATGCTTGGTAAGCAAGGCTGGCGTTTACTCGTCAACCCGGACTCACTGGTTGCACAATTGTTGAAGGCTAAATATTATCCCCGGTCAGATCTCTTGCATGCGGAGTTGAAGCCCTCCTGTAGCTTTACATGGCGGAGTATCTGCTCTGCAACTACCCTTCTAAGACAAGGGTGCAGAAGGTTGATTGGTGATGGGCGCTCCATAGACATATGGAATGATCCCTGGCTTCCTGGTCACAGCCAGTTTTATGTTCAATCACCCCGTCCAGCCGGTTGCGAGCTTCGCCACGTATGTGATCTTATTGATGCTGATTCCCACTACTGGAAGAATGATTTAATTCAGGCAACTTTTAATCCTCATGAGGCCCAGCTTATCTTATCCATGCCCTTGAGTTGGGTGCGTCGAGATGATGGCTGGACATGGCAGTTTACAAGACAAGGTTCTTATTCCGTCCGCTCTGGTTATCACCGTGCAATGGCCATGGGTGGGTCTCATGCAGGCCCCTCCCCGTCCTCCTCAAGCTTCAGGGGTGGTCTTCTTTGGAATCTTGATATCCCTGAGAAGGTTCGCTTGATGATTTGGCAAGCTTATAGGAATATTCTCCCCACAAAAGATAATCTAATGCGTCGCCGAGTTGAAGTCGATCTTGACTGTCCTATGTGTCGCATGGAGCAGGAATCTGTGTTCCATTGTCTAGTGGCTTGTGCAGCTAGTCGTGCAATTTGGATGGGTTGCCCGCTTAATCTCCGAATCTCAAACCTTACTGGGGATAATTTTGCTAGCTTCCTTGACTATATGCTGGACCTCTTGCAACAGGAACAGCTTGAACTCCTGTGTGTGCTCTGCTGGAAAATCTGGAGTTCCAGGAATGATGCTCTGTGGAATGATAGATCCCCCAACCCGCAGCTTATTATCGAACAGAGCTTAAGATTTTTAGATGAGTATCGTAGAGTTATGGCTTTACGAGGTCGAGGACCCTCGGCATCTCACCGAATGGAAACGAGATGGACCCCTCCAGATGGAGATCATGTGAAGATAAATGTTGATGGGGCAGTTTCAGCTCACCAGCGAATTTATGGCATGGGCGCCGTTGCACGGAACAGCTCGGGGGCAGTGGTGGCAGCCATGTCATGCAAAGGTCAGGGGACTGTGTGTGCCGAGATTGCTGAGGCATGTTGTTTGCGCAAAGCTTTGCAATGGGCTTGTGAGCTCTCCTTCGAGAAGGTGATTATGGAATCGGACTGTGCCAGCTTGGTGACAGCTATGAACTCCCCCCTTTCTGATATAAACTCCAGCTTAGGAACTGTTCTATCAGATTGCAAATTGCTTATGGCCTCTATTGATAATTGTAATGTCAAATTCATCCGCCGCGTGGGAAATTCAGTGGCTCATGAGCTGGCACGGCGGGCTCTGCACGCTGAGGATGATGAGTACTGGACAACAGAGGTGCCACCTTTTCTCGCGCATATTGT